TATATAAGTCTTTTTGGTACCCAAATCATTTTGGTACCACTAAAATTTGGGACATGACCCCTATCATTTAAATTCGAGGCCCTAGGGTTATGAACCCGCTTGGGCGTATTTTGTGCACCGATACGATCAAAGCAAAAATTGTAAACGTGACCCATACGATTGCAATTTGTGCAATGTAGAGGTTTGAATGGTTTACGTTGATCGAAATGGAATGCACGTGGTTCATTTGCAAATATAGATTTTTCTTTGTAATTATTTTGCAAACGAAAATTTCTTTTTAAATCGAAACAAAACATGGCCAAATGACCAAAACGACCACAATAATCATATTTATACACATGAGCATGTTTATGATTTGCACTATGTGTGTGTACATGTGTATGTGATGAGGAAGCTTGATGGGATGCACAATCATGAATAGGCTTATCAAATTTTGGTGCATTATGACAAAATTAAGCTAAATGGCCTTTAAGACCGCAAATAGAATAATTGTGAATTTTGTCATACATATGTGCATAGTGAATAGGTTTCTTAGAAGAATTAACATTAAACTTTGCACATAAGTCCATAAGCTTTTTATTATTAGCAATACAAGTGTTTAGTGTTGAATCTAAGGTAGATATTCGTTTTCTCATTTGATTTAACTCATCATTTCATCATAGATTTTAACTTATCTACTTCTAACATAGCATCACGTTTTTCATGAAGCAAACTTGCATTTTCAATTTTCAAATTTTTATTGCATTCTTTAAGAATTATATTTTCATTTGCAATAAAATTAAACTTAGTAGCTAGTGTTTTCATGAATGGATTTCATATTAACATACTTACTCTTTACATTAATATAGCAATTGTGTAATTTTTCAAACTCAAGAGCAAGTTCATCAAAAGTAATAATATCATCGTTATCGCATACCTCACTAGGGTTATCCCCTAGTGGAATTGCACATGGAGATGAGGCTTCTTTAGAACTCAAAGCGGGATTTTCCAATGCTTGTTGAATAGCCTCCAATTTCCCTTCATGTGCTTCAATAAATTTCCATAAAGCCCGAGCACTATCAAAGTTAGCAAATTTGTTAGAAAACGATGAGTGAAAGGCACTAATCAAATATTCTAACAAAAGTTTGTTCATGTTAAACAATCTTTTATCATTCTTACACCATTTGGATTTTTCCAAGGTGGGAACAACATAGGCATCCTTAATAATTTCCCATAAATCAAATTGATTAGATTGAACGAAAAGTTTGAATCTAATACGCCATTGAGCATAGGGAAAAATATCCAAACGAGGAGCAATATTAATAGCATATCCTAAACAAGATGAATCATAAATATCCATAAAGATGAGATGCAAGAAGCACAATGTAATCAAAATTAGATTAGTACAAATACAATAACTTGGATCTTTAACTCAAGACGGTTAGTCCTTAAATCAAAGAGCACCAAGCTCTGATACCAATTGTCAGACCCTAGAGGGGAGGTGATTAGGATCTTATGCTAATCTAATCCGATTAAATGCCAATTAAAATTATGTTGATTAATTTGTTCTTGCAAGAAGATATATGATATGGATATGAGCAATAAAGATGAAAAGAATATACGCTAAGCAAAACACAAACACACGATATGTTTACGAGGTTCGGTCACCACGACCTACGTCCCCGCTCCTCACCTCGAGGAGATATCCACTATCACAATCCGGTTTGGAAGCCGGAACTTCTACACACTCGGTTTACAAGATCACCGAAAACTCTCACACTACACAAATACTATGCAATCACACTTTACACACTAAGTGTAGGAACCTAGCCCGTGTCCTCCTCCTCAAGTGCTCGATTACAACCTCTCCCTAGGTTCGTCAATCGACGCCACTCCTATTGGATTTGACCCCGTCTCTCGACTCACACTTCTCTCGGTGTACAAGTGTATTACAAGTGATTCTCACAAATAAAAGTTAAATACAATGATTTGTTCTCAAATAACAAGTGAGAACTCAATGAAGCTCACACTTAATAAATCACACCCCACAACCCACAATATATAATATGAAAATATTAAGCTCAATAAGTGTGTGTGATAATAGTGAATGAAACTCAATAAATATAACTTAATGAATATAGCCAATCAAATGAAAGTGAAATAATAGGCTATATAAAAAGGAGTTTAGAAAACTTCTCAATGAACAAGAAGAGCTGAAGAAATGATGATCCCAATAGGATTTGAAAGCCTCTTTTTATTGTAGAAAAACTTCTCTTGAAAACTGATTAATGAAATCAACTCTTAAACAGCTCTTATACGCACTTAATCTTTTGTAAAACACCAAACTTGGATTTCTTGGTTGTGGAGAGGAAGAGCAGCAATGGGGGTATATGTAGCACCCCAATGCAACAGCTAAAAGAAGGTAAAAAGACCAAAAAACCAGTTTGAAAAACTAGCCGTTATACACATCTGACAACTCGTCGGTCGACCGGTCCGGTCGACCGCTTAGCTCAAAAGAACAACTGTCGGTCGACCGTACCGGTCGACCGAAATCTGACATATGCACATTTCCAGGTTTTGGGGCTGATTAGAAAATCCATGAAAAATATCAAATTGAATCCAAAAATAATGAAACTTTAGGAAAAGTTTCTAAATGATAAAATAAACATGTTTGAAAAGAAATTTTTGGAAAATCAATTTTTGTTTGTGAAAACTACCCATTTTTGAAAACTGCTTAGAAAAACTGTTTTTATATGAAAGTGAAAGTCAATATAGAACTTGTAAATATGTTTATATATGTAATGCATATATTCTATGTATACAATGAGATATTAAAGAGCTGTAAGCATGAGAGAAAAGTTATTGTAACAACGTTTGATGAGAAAACATTTATATGATAGAAAACATCAAAAATCGTGTTAAATGTACATATATTGAGCTTAGATATAATCATACAATATATGTAAGTAAACCAAATATATACCTAGGTAAATCCACACAAATGAACTTGAATCTTTAACGCTTGATTAACGTGTGTTGAAATACCTGAAAAGAGAACAAAGACACAAAACACTAGAAAACTTATTAGTGGTAAATTTTTTGCTAAATCATCATCAAAACTATAGGGTCAACAGATATCTCCTCGAGGTGAGGAGCGGGGACGTAGGTCGTGGTGACCGAACCTCGTAAATATATCGCGTGTTTGTGTTTTGCCTAGTGTATAGTCTTATTTGTGCTTATTCTTATTGCTCTTATTGTTCTTATTCATATCTATCTCTTGCAAGAATAAAATGATCTACATATTTTTAATTGGCAATTAATTAGGATTAGATTAGTATAAGACCCTAATCACCCCCCTCTAGGGTCTAACAACAACTTCACTCAGCTTCAACTTCTCCTTACCTGTCGAATTGCTGATTGCCGTCACACAACCTGCCCAACTATCCGGCAACTGTGATAGAATCAATAGGGCTAGCACTTCGTCATCAAATGTGATGTCCACGGATATAAGCTGATCAACAATCGTGTTGAACTCGCTGAGATGCATCGTGAAGGACCGTCCTTCTGCCATCTTGAGGTTGAAAAGAGTTTTGACTAAATACACCTTGTTTGCTGCAGATGGTTGCTCGTACATCTTTGCGAGCGCTTCCATAAGCCCCACCGTCTTCTTCTCCTTCAAAATATTGTGAGCTATTGATTTGACGAGCGACAACCGGATTTGCCCTAAAGCTTTCCTATCCAGTACCTCCCAATCACCATCTGACTCCTCCTTCTTTCCCTTTTTCTTACCCATCAACGAGCGATACAAGTCCTTCTGGTACAGATAATCCTCCATCTGTGACTTCCAGTAGGCGAAATCTGAACCGTCAAACTTCTCGATCTTTGATTTGTTTTCCTCTGCCATGGCTTTCACACAAATTGCTGAACAAAGCTCTGATACCAGTTGTTGGGAATTCGAAACAATCAATCGAACCCTTGCCCTTCCGGACCTTGTGTTGAAAGTAGGAAATAAGGAATAATACCATAAATAAAGATCTAACCTTGCAAAAATAGTAAAGGAGACGAACACACAGATTTTACGAGGTTCGGCAACGTGCCTACGTCCTCGGGAGCCACACCACACAATTCTTTTATTAATTAAAGAAGAAAATACAATCTCTCAAACAAGGGATTAATCTCTCTGAGATTCTCTTTCTCTTTGCAGTCAAAAAGCTCTCTTTTTGATATCTTAAAACCCTAAAAAACGTTTGGGGTATATATAGAATCCTGCGTGAAACAGAATCCAAATCAGAACAGGATTCTGTTTGACTGCGTCGCGGTCGACCGCGACGGTTGACCGCGCAAGTTCCAGAGAGTTTTGCGGTCGCCCGCGGCGGTCGATCGCAATCAAAACCCGAGACCAAAAATCCTACAGGGTTGGCGCGGTCGACCGCCATCAGTTTCAGCTTCTTTCCAGCTTGCGTGCACGTTCGCGGTCGACCGTGGATCTGTCTGTTTGTTTTTCTCGTCATTTTGATTCCAGCCTTCGTCCGTACTTTGGGTCTACACCTTAGATTAACAATTAAAGCTAGGAACGAAGCGGTGCTAAGAACGAAGCGGTGATTGGAGATCTCGGGGATTTTGCCAAGTAGTGTTTTGAAGGGTAACACTTTTTAGTAATAGTATATAGATTTAAAGAATTATAAATACAGTCTAAAATCTGGGGCCCATAAAGATCAATACGGTCCCAAAAAAAATCATAAAGTCTTTTTGTTCTGCAAGCTTTCATGATCACAAAAATCATCGTAAAATCTTTTTGTTCTGCAAGCTTTCATGATCACCAAAATCTACTCATGCGCGATACAAACGCGTAGGGACCCATAACGTCCCTGCTGGCTTCATGCAACCCAATACGGCACGTCAATTCTCCTCATTAGTACTACCGACCAAACAATAGCTGCAAAATATTTACATAGACAAGCGTGAGCTTTTGTCCCTTTTCAAAGCCTTCTACCCAGCAAAACAAACCAAGGGGCTTTGCCTTATTACATGACATTTGCTCAAGACTTCAACAGTTGACGCCAAAAGCAGCGACCGTACCGAGATTTGCTGACAAGCCTTCTGTGCTCAAAAGGGAATTTGTTGCAGCTGGAGACCTCTCTCGTCGTTTACATCATCATTATTAGCTTTCTTTTTTGTTGCAGAGATGACCCTGCACACATTTCAATAACTTAGCAAAAAGATTTTTGGTATTTACTGAATGGATATTAATGCATGATTTGATATGATTCGCACCCCTAGAAGGAGAGCTCTGTGCTGTACAAGTGATAGATATGAGATTTTGATGGATTGATTGATAATTTTCACACATAGCGAGAAAAAATTAATTGTGGGGGTCTAATATGCATTGTAAATTACTGTTCTTCCCCTTACTGCTCTTCTTCTTGTTGTTTTCCTCTGCTTTGTTATGTACCCATCTCATCTCTTTCGGTATGGAAAAAGACCCATCTTTTTTATTTAGTTCATTTCTTTTTTATTAAAAAAAAGAAATTCCCAACATTTTGAGACATTTGTTTTTTTTTTAGAAGTCTGGGAGGAAATAATGCACGGGTTGCTGATGAAGAGCAGACCCAGATGGGATTCAACCTGAGTGATGCTGTTTCTGATCTCGCAAGAAGTACTAATGTTACTGTTTTTTAGGATTTTTTTTTGGTAATGGGACTTAGTATCAAGCTACTATTCCTAATTTCTGTTGTTATGAATTTGAAGGCCCCATTATTAGTCCAAGGTCTTCAAGCAATCTGACTGTGGCCACCTCCTCTCCTTTGCATGCTCAATTTTGTGGCTTCGCTCATGGAGTAATTAATTTCTCATTATTTGCTCATAAGATTTTTGATTCACAATGGGTTTATTTTAGCTGATTTCTTCAATTTGATGTTTTAATTTCTCATTATTAATTTGCTCATAAGATTTTTGATTCACAGTGGGTTTATTTTAGCTGATTTCTAGCAATCTGATGTTTTAATAGAATGTGGGATCATTTGAAGTGGGTGCTTCATCAGCAGCAGATGACTGCAGGCTCAACTTCAGAGCTCGTCCTCAGCAGCAAGTTGATAACTGGGGTGATTCTGGAATGTTGCAAGTTGACGATAGAAATCGCAATGTAGGCCTTTATGCGTAAATATTATGAGTTTTTAATATTGCCCATTTTCTAGTATTTAAAGTATTTGTGCATGTTATTAGTATGAAGATGATCAGCGTGGAGCCGTTGTCTCTCGTGATTGTTCTGTTGTGTCACAGGAGAAAACAGGCAACCACAAGGTACATTAATTTGTTATTTTTCCCTTTTTAGTTTGATAGTTTGATTTAGCTAAATTTGGCTTACCATATTTGATTTGATTTTGGAAATATTATCATGCAGGCGACTCGGCGCCTTGCTCAGAATCGAGAGGCTGCAAGGAAAAGTCGCTTGAGGAGAAAAGTAAGTTTATGTACTTAAACATATTTAGCCATGATTTGTTCATTGAAGAAGCCATTCTTTTGCTATTTATGTCTTCCTTTATAATTATTTTTTGGACGACTTGCTATTTATGTCTAGTACAGGAGATTGTTTCAACCAATTTAATGTTGGGATTCTCTGTCACGACCCCAATTTCCGAACCTAAAAGGAATATTAGAGCCGGACTAAATCTGTAAAAAGTCCTCCAAAAATATACATTCATTAAAAGACCATTAAAATAATCTCTACATTGAACTAGAAACCAACAATAAGTATTCTCTATAATCCCAAAAGTCAATATTAATCCAATTAATTTGATATAAACAATTATTCCTCAATTTGAAATAAAACTCGATCTAAAGGAAAAAATCTCATTATTACAAAACTCTTAATTTATCAACTAAGGGGCTGTTTGGTTCGCTATTATAAGGGGTGGAAAACTCAGAAAACCCCTCCACGTTAGATTTTTAGCCCTCCACGTCAGCTTTTTTGTTTCTGTCCATTTCTTTGTGCCGCTTTGGTTCGTTCGAATGGAAGAGGGAACTCTGCTGAAATTGCCGCCAACTAAGATTTTTTTCCCTCTCCGATTTCCTTCCCAAACCAAGTGAAATTGATGAAAACTCTGCCATGTCAGATTTTTTTCCTTCTCTGCTTTGTTTACAAAAGTTTTCCTTTTTTTCTATGCGAACCAAACACAAGAAAAATAAATACATTGGTTTCCCACCATTTTTATGTGCGAACCAAAGCAAAACAATCTATTTCTTAAAAAAAGTTTGAAAAACCCAAAACTTGTGTTTTTTTACATGGAATTGCATTTCTCTATATCAAGGAAACGAACCAAACAGCCCCTAAACATCAAAGACTTCATTTAACATTCACCTAGAAGACAATAACAATCTCGAATTTTATTCCTTGCTCAGTTTTAAAAATTTTAAAAATTATAAATTCCACCTAATCTCGAGTCTTTGAAAAGAATGAAAACAACACAATGAGTTCACAACTTAATAAGTGGATAAATTCGTACATTGAACACTGATTTTATAAAAAATTTAAATATTTCGACAAATGATAAGCAAAATATAAGAATGATAGAGAATCATCAATGAACTCTAGTATTTGATGCAAATATTTAAGAAAACTTAGAAATCATGAAATAGAAATAAGCAGGTCACCTTTCAATGCGGTCAACACTTTATACTCCGGTTGACTCGGTAAACCCCACAATTAATAAGCCCGTGGTTCCGGGACGGTGAGAGCCAAATTTGGGCTCTTAGCGCTAAAATAAAACCTCATAGAGGTACATTGTGCCATGTTTTAATAACTTGCTTCTATCTAACATATACCGATATATTGACCTGAGATGCATATATTTTTATGAAAACAAACAAAGTTTATATAACCAAATATTTTATAAAGAATTGCCAAATGCCAACCAGTAGTGAAACCAAACAACCACATGCATCTTAACTTACTACTATATGAAAAGACATACCAATTGACAAAGAAAATAAGCATAGTCTTATACCAAATAACCACGTGCATTAATCCAATCAACAATTAATATGCGAGCAACCATAGAAAAGGGTAAAATCCATCAGAACAAACTTATATATAGTCAATGTAATTTTATATAAAAGAATACGCAGCGAATAATGCACAAATTCACAACTTACCTTAAGCGAAATGATATCCAAAATGAACTCACAATGTTTCCGCAGAGCTCTAGAAATTCCTAGAGGAACAAATATAAATGATAATATCCCTCATCTCACAATCACATGCTTCGTAAGAATAACTAAAAATATATATTAAAAGATAGTAGACCTTGATTCATCTTTTTAACAGTTGATAAATCCTTTTATTTAGATCTCATAGCTAAGGATACACCTAGTGCGTTGCCGACCATAACTTTTCTTTTCATTTACTGTTTTAAAGAACTAGATCAACACATGCCTCGCAAAACCTTCATTTATTTTCCATGGCCACAGTTAAGGAAGAAGCAATGAATTAAGTCACAATTGCTCAAGATGATGAAATAGCATACTCAATAAAAAATGATTACCAAAATAATGCTGAAAGATTATCACGATCTCGAGAGACTGTAGATGAGAACTTGAAGCCAAAAACAAAATGCAATGATTAAGCATTCCTATGAAAATTGCGTAAACATATATATATTATATTTTATATATATATATTTTGTTGGTTCTTCCTTCTCTCTCTAATTTTTTTTATATTAATGTGGCTTATGAAAACACGATGCTAGGGTTTCCTCCTTTTCTTTTATAAGGGTTTCCATTTACCACAAACTCCTTAACAAATTTGCATTTGCACCAAGCCCCTTAACAAATATTAATTTCCAATAACCTCTAACATAATTATATTTGATAACTTTCTTCTTGCATAAAGATCCTTTATAGTCTAATATTCATGATTAATATAACTAAACAAATAGCTCGTATAATTATTGAAGAAATTTGTAAAATGTAATACTTACAATCAAGTGAAAATTCGGGTTATTACATAATACCACTCTTAACAAAAGTTGTCCTCAAAACTTGAACATGCTTGCGGGTCGGTCATGTCATTTGGAAATTTTCCTTAACCCGCTCAAATGATTTATGATCATATACATTGCTATAATTACCATCTATACTCACTTAAATCTCCTCCTATGACTTAACAATTATACTTTCTAACATTAGTCAATTTAATTATTTGCATGAATACTAAAATAATTTATAAAACTAGGCTTGTTAGCCATAGAAAACTAGAAATGTTACATACTTTACCCCTCAAAAGAAGTTTTGTCCTCAAAACTTGAATATATGCATGTCCTCAAATAGACACAAATATTTCTCTTCATCACATTTTTATTCTACTAAACTATATCTTCAACTAAAAAAACAATTATTTTTGTAATCTTATAAAACCCACTTTAAAATTCCATTTATAGAACCTATGATAATTTTTCTCTCATTTTCATACAAACATCAAATGAGGCTAAAGTAATCCAACAAACTTCTAATGCTCAATCTTCACTTGATAGCATGTTGAATATTAGTCTATAAACTTTAAAATTCATGTTTCTTGTTATGCTATTAAGATGATTCTCACAAGTCTATACATTCGTGTACTTCCTATATAGAAGTGTATAAATAAGAGATTGACTTCTACATTTCTATCGTTAGCTTCAGACCGTTCAGGGCACATAGGCTATTTTGAATTTAAACTCACCAACGTGAATAACAAAGTCATTACCATGAACCTTTTTATAACCTTTTTCTACCTTCGGTTAATTTTTCACTGTCAATATCACAACCATGTATTATCACAATTCTTTCAATCATGGCAATCTGAATCCTAAAATAAGCAAACATCATTGCAGATTCATAAATCTAAATATCAAAAACTAACATATTCAAGTCCTCCAATATATCTTTCTTCATGGTGATTAAAATATAAATACTAGTATTTAACTTTGTACTCAAGAACTCTACCATTACATTCCTCCAACTGAGGTGATAATCGATATTGAAATCATATCCTTTCATCACTGTGGATCATTTTTCCTCTCGTACAACGTCTCCTTCATGGTCAAAATAATTCACAAGATACTAATGATCAGTATAAGTATCATCTAGTCTGCGATTCATATGAGTTAATCTCCTAAGATCCATATGCTACCATATTCCTATTTTGTAAAGAATAATTTAAAGATCAACATATAAAAATTATTTTATACTAATAAAATCCAGTGATAATGAAATAAGTGCATAAACAAACCAGTCCTTTCACAACAAGCCTTCTTGCGCTTCTCACTCTACAAGAATAAATACCTATTCAATGTACGTCAAAAGCAATTAAAAGCTATTATCAAAGTCATAACTTCATAAGTTTTCACTATGTACTACATGATGGAGGAAAAAATATGGTACAACTTAATACATTTTCACCATCTACACCATAAACCTAAGTGGGCTGGCAACAAAATTCTTACACTAGAATAATGCATCGGATACAGTAGTAGGAAATACTCTCCAACCAAACTTCAGATTCCAATTAAAATCATATCTTATATCATTAGGACATCAGATTGTGGTCAGATCATACCTTCGCTAAATTCAAGATGATGAAATAACATACTCAATTAAAAACGATTACCAAAATAGTGCTGAAAGATTATCGCGATCTCGAGAGATTGTAGATGAGAACTTGAAGCCAAAAACAAAATACTATGATTAAGCATTTCTATGAAATTGCTAAACTTCAGGACATAGTGCTGAAAGATTATCGCGATCTCGAGAGATTGTAGATGAGAACTTGAAGCCAAAAACAAAATACTATGATTAAGCATTTCTATGAAATTGCTAAACTTCAGGACATAGTGCTGAAAGATTATCGCGATCTCGAGAGATTGTAGATGAGAACTTGAAGCCAAAAACAAAATACTATGATTAAGCATTTCTATGAAATTGCTAAACTTCAGGACTGTCCAGCGAAGGACAACCCCGCGAGTCATTTATGATAAGCGCGGAAGAAATGGCCAAGATGCTTGAAGACGCTTTGGCTAAACAGAAAGAAAGTTTCAAGTTTGAGATGCAGATGGCCCTGCAGACTATGAGAGAGATGCATGAGCAACAAATCCAGGCATTCAGGAACCAACAAGGTGAACCAAGTCACCGTAATCAGGTTGTTCAGGAAGAAGAGCACACGGATAGGGATGGAGCTCACAATGCCAATAACCCTCCCGTCAATGCAGGGGGTTGTTCGCGGGAAAAATCGTGTCTTTCTTCATTGTTGATATCATTGCTATCTCAGTTAACAACTTTATGCGTTACAAAGATCCGGTCTTTTTATAAGATCCGGTTACAATGAAAAATCAAAGAAAACAAAGTAAAGATTACAATTTTCCTTATTTGTCGAACTAATCGCGAGCTCCTGTTTTGCGGTCGCTCGCTTTGGTGGGTTCTTTGCCTGCG